CACTGACCATCACTGATAACTTTTCCTAGTTACCAAAAAGCCTATTTATGCTTCTGTAAGGTATCAAAACCAAATGCAAATTCACAAGGATAAGCAATAAACTAAGCAATTGAAGACGCATTAATATCTCAACATGGAAAGTAGGTTTCCATGACCACAAAATAAGAATGAAGAAATATAAGGTTATAACAGCTAAAAAATACCAACATCAAAAGATAGCATACTAAAATAAATTAGCAATTCTTAAATCCTCAAAAAGGAAACTGTCGTAATTTCTCCACGACATGGTGCTGTTTTTGGTCTAGTAATGCTGCATACATGGAAAATTTCAGCTCAAAAGTAGACATCAAGAAAATCAAATCCCCATTTATTAAAGTTATGCAAAGGAAACAATGACTAACGAAGATTTGGGAAATTCCAATTTTCTTGAATGAAGCATCTCTCATGAATGACAAACTCAGATCTTGGTAAGAAACAATAATCTTACTAATGGCAAAGAAAAAAGAAGGATAACGTGAGCCAATATTATAGGTGGTATGTGGAAATGATGAATTGCATTGCAATAAATCTCGGGATTGCTCATTGTCCACCATCCCTAACTCAAACTCAAATAGAGAGAGACACCACAGGGGATATAAATTTGATATCAGCATTCAACTGAACTTCTAGAATCCCAAAAAAAATATCCTGACTTTGCTAAAAATACTCGAAACAATGTGTACAATGCAGTCCAAAATTTTCAGTCAGTCACCATTCAATCAATTCAAACCGAGGAATAGGCAACATAGTTTTGATTAAAACCAGTCAATTGAAGCATGCAACATGCAAAAACAATGGAAGTATATCAAGTGAGGCAATACAACAACAACAAAATCTTATCCCACTAAGCAGAGTCGGCTATATGAATCCTAGAATGCCACGCTCAGTTTTGTGTCATGTCTTCCGTTAGATCCAATAGTCCAAGTGAGGCAATGAAAAGATAAAAACACGACACAAATATATAATTTTCCAATTATTCCAACATATTAAGACCCAAAATAGCAAAACAAAAACAACCCACCCAATTCATCAAATAGCCCAACAAAACGAAATCTAAGTTGTAAGAAAAACGAACCGAGCCAAATTACATGAATTGATCAAACCAGTCAACTGTAGTAGCAACACGCAAATTCAATGTCAATACAAACTATAATTTTCCAATTCTGCCAACATATCAAGACCCAAAACAGCAAAACAAACACAACCCAATTCACCAAACGACCCAAATATACAAAATCAAAGCTTTCACAAAAGGGACAAAACCCAAAACGTACATGAATTTGGTTCTGAACGAATCGTGAAACTCCTTGAGCTTTTCCCAGAAAAGGTCGGAGCTTTGAACGACTTCCTCGTACGTTGCTGTGGGTGAAGGATAAGCCTTTGGAGCGGAGGCGGGGGATGAGAGAGAAGACCCATTGGCGGGGAGAGAGAGGAGTTGTTGTTGGTGAGCTGAAGTGGCTGAGGAAGAAGAAGGCTTCTCCTTTTCTGTAATTTTTGGTGTTGGGACCTCAGACATTTTGTTAGAGAGAAAAAAGGGAGGGTAAAGATTTGATGGATTAAGATGCTAGATTACCAGAAGGCACGGACCACCCTTTTTATTTTAGTCAAATTATATGATTATATAAAGATATTGGAAAAGCATGTGGAGATTCGGGGATCAAGCAATCACGACTGTTCATCGTATATCATGCGTTTAATTTTCATTATATACTATTTATATTCAATTTTAAATTTAAACTGATTTATAATAGCATGATATATGATGCAACGACCGTGATTGCTTGATCCCTCGGATCCCACAAAGATGATCCTTTTCCTAAGATATTGGATATGACTAGGCCCTAGAATACTTTCCTAATAATTAAAGATTGAAACTTTATTTATTGGTTGTCGATACAAACGATAATATAAATTAATTCAAAATTTATGATAAGAAAATTTAAACTTGTATTTACACAAGAGTGGAGACAAATAGATATAAAGATTCGAAATCAAAAGCTTAGATTTTAGATAAAATGTTTTTAACTAACTGAAGAGAAATATTTTGAGTGTAGATGAAGAATGGGGATGGGCTGATGGTTTTGGTAAAACACATATTTGGGAAGGCAAAGCCATGATAGGTACTTTTGTTGGCTAAAATTAATAAGATTCTGTACAGTTTGGACCCCTTCCTTTTACTCCTTTTTCTGTTAATAAAAGTAGAAATATGAAAGAGCATATTAAGTTCCAAGGGAAAAGAGAAAGAAGACGGAGTATAGAATGTGATTTCTAAGAGTAAATGATACATATCATAATTGTATCACTTCTCTAATAGAAATAGGGCTTACGAATACGAAGTGTTATAAACGTGGTATGAAAAATGTGATAAGATAAGAGTAACATTTTTTATGAAATCATAAGGATTTCATCATAATATAAATCGTGCTAAAGTTCCAAAAATTAGATGATTATATTCATGATATGTTTAAGTTCATCGATTTTGCCTGAATTTAGTAGATTTCTGTATTTTTTTCTAACTTTTAATTTGAGTGAAGAAACTACGCTTATGTGGGCTTAAACATGTAAGTCAGGTCATTTAGTCAAGTGATAGCTCCTTTTCATCCAAATTCAAACCTCATTTCGCATAAATTAAAATAGTTAAAAATATCTTTTTGTCGATAAAAAAAACATATAAAAAGGTCGTACCCAGTGCACAAGGCTCCCGCTTTACGCAGGGTCTGGGAGAGGTGAATGTCCATAATCAAATTAATTTTGTTGCATCACCATATTAAGAGTATCCGAAAAAGAAGGGTAAATGCGGTTTGACCCCTTAAATTATTACTTTAGTTGAAATTGACCCCCTAAACTAATTTTTTGGTAAATTAACTCCCCGAACTATTTAAAAGCAGCCAATTAACCATTTTTCGTTAGATTCCGTCCACTATTCCGTCAGATTCAAGGGCAAATTAATCTTTTTTATCATCAATTCTTACTAGTTAGTTATAACCACCAATAAAATAATGACACGTGGACACAGAATAATTCAAAAACTTATAGCATAATAAGAAACATAAAGAAACCAAACGTTTGCATAACAGACCATTTTACATTGTCATTACACGTTATTCTGTGTCCACGTGTCATAATTTTATTGGTAGTTATAAGTGACATGTACAAATTGATGACAAAAAGACTAATTTGCCCTTGAATTTGACAAAATAATGGACGTCTAACGTTAAGGGGTTAATTGGCTGATTTTAAATAGTTTAGGAGGTTAATTTACCAAAAAAATAGTTCAGGGGGTCAAACAACAATTTACCCGAAAAAGAATGGTACTCCAAAACTATGAAATAAGGAATGTCCCAAATTCATCATAGTTGTTGATGCCTCAAGGGGGGTTCAATCCAAAGATTTGAAAGAGTGCATTGCATGATGGATTTGGATACCTTTGAGAACATGAAATAATAGCAAGTAGTAAATTCCAAATTCCAACAAAACACATGCATTCAAACTCAAAACGAAGAACTTAATTGGCTATAGTCCTGCCTCTAGTGTTGTTACTTCGAAGAACCACGAAACAAAAAATAAAACAACAAAGAAAAGCATAAGAACTTCCCAAACTAGCGATTCATTGATAAGCTATACAAATTACAAACAAGAGAGAGACCTCACAACAACATGATATGGATTCAACTCAAATTTAAATTCAAAATGATAATATTTATTCAAAGAACTTGGGATCATAGCCATTGCTAGAGGTGGCCAAGATGTAGTAAGCCACGATGTGACCGATAGAACCCCAAGCCAAAACATCCACAATGTTGAACCCAACAGGGTCATTAGACTTGAGGAGGCTCACATACTCCTTAGCCCTAGTGTCCCCAGCCTCAAAGTGCGTCACCCCGTTCTGCTCCGGCAACCCTTGCTTGGCCACATTCTCTCTCTGGAAGTTGAAGAAAACAAACCTCCCAAGGAAGAGAGAGAGTCCGGTGCTCAGGCTGATGACCAGTGATGGGTTCAGCTCAGCTTTGACGACGCATGAACTTCTCCTGGTGCTGGGTGCATGCAAACCAAGCTTGGTGGGAGGGGAGGACTTGGTGAGGGGTCTGAGGCCTTGGAAGGAGATTTGGGTTGGTGATAGGGTTTGGTGGTGCCTTGTGGCTGTGGAGGAGATGGACGGGGCTGAGAACAAGGCGGAGGAGGTGGCTGCCATTACTGGTTGCGGAGGAGGAGGGTGTTGGGCTGTGGAAGTTTGATGAAAAGTGGAGGTTGGTTTTCTGGAGGAGACGAGATTGGGAAAGGGGTGATATATCTCCACTGGTTCTGTGGAGGTTGTGAGGATGGGAAAGTGGGAGGGAAAGATTTTGGATGGTGAGTTGGCACTGGTTTATTGGTTCCTTTTGGATTACAGATTTTTGGGTACCTCTGAAACTCTGTGGAGCGTCAGATTGTGAATTTAGGACTGCTGCTGCATAGACTAAAGAAAAAATATCAACTTTTAGATCATATGATGTGTTAATACGGGAAATCAACATTTCTATATATTTTTGTCTGTTGATTCTATTTTGATTTGTTCAATGTAAAGATCATAAATAAAGAGGATGTCGTGTAAAAATAGAAAAAATGTGTAAAATTCACTCTTGAACATTTCTGTTTATTTTTGTCTGTTGATTTTATTTTGATTTGTTCAATATAAAGATAATAAATAAAGAGGATATCGTGTAAAAAGAGAAAAAAATGTGTAAAAATCACTTTAGATATCAATAATGTCGATAAATCGAATCATTATGCGCTTGCTTAACAGCTTATTGACATAATGTCGGCAGACCATTTTCCAATTGACATATTGTCTACCAAAATCAAATTTTGCGTAATTTTGCTCGTTCATCAAACATTCTTTCTTTTTTAAAGAGCTAATCAAGAAATCATTTTCCAAGATACTAGGGTTATATATTTGATTAAAGTAATAGAACCCACAGAGAGAAGGCAGGGGAACAAAAGTAAACAGGGAACAAAAGTAAATTTGTTTAGTAGAATTATTACAGGAAGTTTTACTCTATATCAAACTCATCACTTGGGATCCAAGAAACCAACAAGATGATTGGTAGCTTCTTTCCCACATGACACGTGCCACATTGAGATAAAATTTCAAAAACGCAAAACAGCCAATGTCTTTCGCCCCAAGACACACCGGTTCTTCTTCCCCATTTGTTTCGACCACCATTGCCTTAGCCTTCTGTACATTCCTCCCTTTTACACATTTTCTATGGGGAGAAAAGGACGGAACACCAACAACAAAGCTACTATTGCACATAATACTTCATTTACATCTACAACCTCTTCCCACTGCGCGAAATACGTTACTAGGCTCAATCGCACTGAGGAATGAGCAACGCCAACACTCATTCGCAGTTTGCTTATTGAAGTCGGTCAAATAAGAGAGTCAAGGTAAGAGTAGTTCCGGCTCCGGCCATACTCAAGAAGACTACCGTATGTACGATCCCACACTCCAATAAAAAGTGACTCTGTGTCCGGACTGAATGATATGCCAGATATCTCGCCAAAGAAATCAATTTCCTGTTCCTTCTCATACCCACTTTTCACATCATAGACATGCACAAAGTCTGCTGGCTCTGCCATCATCATATACTGACCATCAGAAGTATACCGGATTGACCGAATAGCTCCAAGGTTCCCCTTCAAAACAGCAACTGACTTGGAAAGGTTTCGAACATCCCAAATCCGGCAGGTTTTGTCCTGGTTCCCAGTAGCAAAGGTCATACCATCGGGATGCCATGCTGATGCAAAGGAGAAATCCAAGTGCCCATTTAAAGACATCACCGTCTGCAAAAGAAACTCATACAAATCATCACACTTCCTTTCCTAGCTCAAGGAATAAACATCACGAGAAAGTCAATTGACAAAGTCTGAGATGTATACCTTTCCAGTTTGAGAGTTTACCAAAATCCCTTCTGGATTGTCTCCAACAATCACAAGAAGTTTACCATCGGGACTCAAAGAAGTATGCTACAAACAAAGCATAGAGGTGCATCGAAGTTTAGCAAAACTGACTAAAGAAAGCATTTAAGTGATTGGATTTCCACATGTAAAATGTGACCCAATGAAAAATCAGCATTGGATGGAATGAGGTAGTTTGCAAATTTGCAGTTGAAAAATAGCTGCCAACTATCATATATCACTAGCAGGACTAAAAATATAGAACCCTCCATGAAAGAAATGTCAGCAAATGTAATGAGATATACATCCAGTCATTTCCAAAAAAGCTGCAGGAGACTCACATTCACAGGCCAAGGATACCGGAAATGCTTAGTAAGCTGAAATTTCTCCATGTCAAAGTCTCTGACTCCACAGTCATTATTAGAGGCTGTAAAGTGAACTGCCCCACTGCAAAATTCAAGGGGACTATATCAGTTATAGGTTCATGATTGGAATTTGGAAATGAGAAATCCCAACCTCATGAAAAAACCAAGTACCTGGGACTGTCATAAATCTCAACAGCATTTGTTATGGCATTATCGTCATAAGTTGTCCTCGAGCAAAGCTAACTCCTGGACGATCAAGATGCTGCAGAGCAGTCAAAGATAAGATAAATCTGTCAGCATTGAGCGTTTCTCTTTATTAGTTCTTCAAAGAGAGAAAAATGAAACTAAAAGGGATCTTGTAGAGACAGCCGAATGACAGAATGCTTATACAGGATGTAGTCAAGTATCAAAGGTTTAATAGACACTGATACCACAACATTCAAAGTTAAAACTTATAAGTCATCCAGAAGATCCATCTGGTATGAAGTAGCACCCATATAGCTAAAGCAAAGGACAAATAACATGTGTGTTTCGGTACCACCCCTACGGTGCAAGTGAACCATGTACAAGGTCACAACTGATAAGCGCAAACCAAGCAATGTTGACAACATAAGCACAAGAGAAGTGAATGCTCATTCATTTATTTTCTTACTTAGTAAACTCAATTATTTGCAACTCACCTTGCAAATAAGTTCACCCTGGAATCCTCCAGCAACCAGCAACTTATCTTTTACAGCAAGAGTACTAACTTGAGTCTGTGTAAACCCCTCCAAGAGACTTCCAGGATGTTTCTACATGGGACGAATAGAAATATCAGTTTCCAATGAAGACTTGGTTGTCGAACAAAAGTTATCTAAAAACGCTTACCTCCGATGGTGTCACATGTCCAGAAACGTTGAGAACCTCAGACTTTGTGCAACTTAAGGAAGACCAATGAACGACAGAAAAATGTGACATCAGATAGATGTCATGCTTGGAAGTAGCCCAGACCAAGTTACGCAACTACATTACCAAGCAAAGATAAAACATCTCAGTCAAATAAGAGACATCAAAGGGCTATATTATGATTCAGTGTCTGTCAAATTGTTTAAGGGCATTGCATGCAAAAGTTGACCCCAAGTTATAAGTCAAGTTAGCAAATATAAGTCCTATCAGTTCTATGATATGCGAGTGAGAAAATTTCATCCAAAGTTCACATGCGCAGAAAACAGCCAACAAGAACAAAGGATAGCTCGCACCCAGCACACCTGAAAATGAAGAATGGTTGATTTCACTGATCTAGCATTTCGTCTGAACTCATAATATACAGATCCTTTCTTTGTATCTTTGCAATCCTATTTACCAAGGAGGAAAAAAAGTCATCATCAAGTTACTCTTCCAAGTTGAAATTGACACTTCAGCATCAATAAAAAAATTTGGATAACAAATAAAAAATGTGGAAAAACAGTAGTTATTTACCTTCCCTGATCCTTCCCCAGAATTAGGGACATTCTCATAATTCTTGTATTGTTCTAACCTAGTCTGTCGGTATTTCTCTCTAGTAATGCTAAGTCTATCCCAAGGAATACCTTGGATGTCTTTTCCTTTTCTTGCTTGAGCAGCAGTTGTATCAGCTACTTTACTATTCTGCATGAGATTCATACATTAGTCCCAGCTATATATAGAACTACAGTGATCATGAAATGTGAAATGCTCATACAAACTTTGAGTTATTTGAATGCACAAAAGCCATATCGTAAAATAGTGTTAGACATGAATAATTTCTTGAAGCTGTGAATATTTGACATATCTAGTAAGACATGTTAGTATATCACAAACCAAGTAGTCATATTCATCAACATCGGAATCTGAGCCGCCCATTTCTCTACTGTGAAACTCGTCATCCATATCATCATCTACATCTTCCATTTCGTATTCATCCTCCACATAACCAGCGTAATGGGACATATCTTCCCAACAATGCCACAACTAGCACCAACAAAGATTCAAGCCAGTTACTTAAGAATCAGCATACAAAACAATACCAATGATCAACGTATATTGCAAACAGCAAGATGTGAACAGGTCAAAATTCTAACTTAATAAATAAGATAATTAAATAACAAAACAAAAAAAGGTATAAACTACTCATGTTGTTGTGTCATTGCTAACTATGAACAGATATTAAGATAAAACATGAAAATGAAATTCGTGATATACCCATGGTTGGAGCAACTTCTTTGAAGGAATATGTTTAATTAACAAGTGCATTAGGCAAAAAAAATAAGAAACTAATATAAACTCCAAAAACCTGATAAAAGGCAGAGAAGAAAAGAATCAGGAAAACCATAACAACTAGACCGATGTTCACACAATAGGAATGAAGAATGAAAACAACTAGGTCGAGCATGTGCTCGACTACAATATATATGTTACTGAGTTGCCATGCTTGGAAATTCAATATCATAAAACGCCGCAGTTGCAGCAATACAAGTTTTGCCCAAAAATGAAGCTGCAAAGGGTCATAACTTCGCTATCAAAGCCAACAGTCAAGCACCCAACCATGCATTCCTTTCGTAATCTTTGAGAGGATTAAATCAGATATGATGACACCATCAAAAGTAGCTCATAGGGGAACATACCAGCGTAACCAAATTATTCTTAACACCTAAAAATTACAACTTTAATTTTGGCAGCATCAATCGGTAAAGCATAATCATAGGAAAATGCTTCCTCGTATAAAAGGGTTCAATTTGACAAAGTTTTGCTCATTATTAAGCTTTTCCCTTTATTCCCCTCACCAACATTGCACGTAAAATGCAAATGAAATTCATAATTGTCCAGAGTTGTAGCAACTTGACTGCGAGCATACATTTAATTTACACATACATTAGACAAAACAAAAATTACAAATAAAAACCAAAACCCTAATTCGAATTAAAAGAGGTGAAAAATCCCACTTTGTATGTGCTCAGAAATCAAACAAGAACATACCCTAATTAAAATAAAATAAAATGTGAAATTCTGGAACAGTTGCACTTACCAATCCACAAATTTACCCTAACCCCCAATCAAATATACAAAAAAGAAAGGGAAATTGGGGGAAAACAACAACAGAATAATCAAAAGACAACAGTCAGAAAAAAACCCTAAAAAAGTCACAATTGGGAATTGAAATTCACGCAAAAAACAAAAAGAAAAATTGAAAATTTCACCTTTCGTTTGTTCTGGGAATTGAGAAGCTCGGAAGGAGCAGCTGTTCGGATCTGGAAATCCCGAATTGAGAAACTGAAATCTCAAACCCTAGTCAAGAAGAAGTTCAGATCCAGGGAGAAGAGAGGGGAGAGAGAGAGAGGTGAGAGAGAGTGCGTAATATTATTTTCTCTCTACCGACTGGTGTTTTCGGATCGTCGAGCGAAAGACAAAGGTTGAGGGGAACCTTACGAAAAGGACGTGCTTTCCTTCTTGTGTGCGTATTCGTATTTCTACTGTATTTCTGTTGTATTTGCCTCTTTGGTGTCGTATTTTCATACATTTGGTCGGTTAGATGTTGGATAAATTATATAAAACTACCTTAATTATAGGTCGAATAACAATCTCATACCTCATATTTTAAAAATTGCAATGTCATACCTCATTTTATGAATTTGTTGTAATATCAGATCTCCATCAATTTTCCTGTCAAATTTTCTATTAAATGCTGGCATAGCTTAAGGCAAAGCCTACTCCCTAGCTAAGTAAAAATATAATTAAAGAGAAAATTATTTAAATACTTTTATTAAAAATATAGGACCCACCTCTACAAACCAATCAACCTCATCTTTTCCCTCAATCCATAAGTCTTGTCCTCTCTTCCTATGGATAGGCAACGGTTATGATGGGTAGGTAACCGCGGTTATTTATCTATAACCATTTATTCTCATACCTGCATAACCGTTTACCCGTTGGATAATTGTCTAAACGGTTATACTCATATTCATAATTGTTTATAAACGGTTAACCATACTCATAATCATGTACTCATTTAACCGTAATCGTTTAGTACCTGTTTACCCATTTATCATTTTTAAACTTGTTTATCCTTTCTTTTTTACTATTTACTCATTTTTCACCCGTCTACGTGTTTTTTTATTAACTTGAAAATTAAAAAAGAAAAAATTGTCATAATTTTGTTTTTCTAACAATTAAACATCGTTACAGGTACATTCATCATACATTTCCGCATTTTAATTTTTTAAGTCCGTATATTATTTCAATAATTGAAATAATAGTTTACAGATGATATTTTTAATTGTTAGCAATGAAGGTAATATAAAATTTGCTAAGTATTCTTGGGTTACGAAAACTGTTAAAATACAGTATTCTTGGATTATTTGACTCGGAATATAAAATATTAACATAATATATATATAATGGGCCATGAAATTTAAAGTGATTAAAAAAAACTATATTATATTAGCTATAGAAATCATGCACTATAATTAATGGCATTGATCTAAGTTTTGTCCGATAGGGAACAAGGTTTGTGTTAATTTTACATATATAAAATAAATAGATAAATTGTTACCCGTTTATAACCGCGATTAATACCCATAACAGCCCATTTAAATTTCGTAGGTAAACGGTTATACTCATAACCGTTTATTTATTTAAACGGTTACCCATAATCGTAACCGTAACCGTGAAATTTAAATAGAAAGGTAACCACGGTTACCCATAACCAATAGGTATTTGCCCATCCCTATCTCTCCCCATAAAGCAAAATGAAAGAAAAAAAAAACCCAGATTTTCTTTTGCATGTGATCGATTCGACTTCCATTCACAACTAATTTTCATACTTCGCCATCAACGGCTTAACCGGATTCCACCGTCACTTTCTCGATGGGTCCATTCGGGCTTGGGGACAGAGTCGAATTTGGGGATCTGGAAGGAGATGAGGTAGAAGGCCGGGATGCGGGGGTCGAAGTAAAGGTAGAAGATGCCGCCAACATGGGCAACGAGGTTGATGACGATGAGGAGGAAGACGCAAAAGACACAGCAGCATATGCTGCAGCAGCTGCTACTTTCGGGGAAAGGAAGGGGAGATTAGGTTCCCATGGTGGTGGTCGGACTACAGGTCGCCCCGGTTGATGTGGATCTCGGTATCACAACTGTTTCTGGAGCATCGGTTTAATTGGCCTTTGATGTAGGTCTCGATATCCGTGCGATTTTTTAATTGGGATGAATTTTGAAATGTCGATTTGAATTTCTAGGCAAAAGATGAAATAGGTTGTGAAATTTTAAGGATGAAGATGAAGAATAGAGGACGAAAGGGAAGAGAGCCAGTTTAATTTGAGAGAGAGAGAGAGAGAATTGTGGAGGTGGGTTCCAAATTTTATAGAAATACTCATAATTTATTAATATTTAAATAATATTTGTAACCAATTAGGCTAAGGGGTGGGCTTCGCCTTAAGCCATGTCAGCATTTAACAGAAAAATTGACGGATGTCTAATATTGCAACAAATTCATAAGATGAGGTATGTCATTGTAATTTTTAAAACATGAGATATGAGATTGTGGTTCGACCCATAATTGAGACAATTTTATGTAATTTATCCTTAGATGTTTGTTTTCTATCTTTTGGAAGAGGGTTGTTTTTTTATTTATTTTTTAATTTTTTTATAATTGAAATCAAACTCTGCTTTTACGATACTTGTACCTAAAATCTTCCAAAGAGAAATTTTACTGAATTCTAATACTAAGGGTAAGGGTCTGTATTCATGTTGTGTAGATTACAGACTGTTCAGACCTATACTGCTGAGTAGAGCACACTTAGCCTCACCTCTGACTCCAACTGCTCTTACGACTCAAACACCTGGTAGAGCACTGGAGAGCTAAACCCAAGAAGCCTATGATAGGTCACTCAATTCCTCACAAATGGTTAGATATTATGATCTTACTCATAGCACTTTGCTTATAATTCTCTTATATATTGACTTAATCGCCAGAGCACCTACGCCAAAACCACCTCTCAACGCCTAGTTTCACGATCTCTTCCTTGTCTTAGGTCCAACAGTTTGGTACTTTCATTTAGTGATTAGATTCATATTCTCATGTAAACAGCTCTACCCATACCCGTGGTTGACCACCACGCCCAACCCGACCTTGATTAGCTTATTCCTGCTATTGCCGAGATTACTCTCGTCATTGTCGATGCCAACATCGCTACTGCCAGAGCCTGTGCCCCAACTTTCACTCCGTAGAATGATTCTCATACCCAAACCATGTTCATGCTCTTGGATCACATTAGAAAGATACTTAGAGAACTAAGTGATGCCATGAGGGACTTGCAACCCTTTCGAGCTCAGGATGCAATTAGAGCTTCCAACACCATGGTGGAGATGCAATCTACAATACAATCTTGTGGAGTAATGGCCTAAGCAAGAGCACCCTTGAGCAACTCCAGACATCTCAACTTTGGCCTTCCAAGTTTAAGCCACCTCCACGTCGAGGACAGACCTCGACCGCGGAATGGAGATGACCTATTTATCTACGAACTTTGAGCTGAAGGTTATGTCGAACAAACTCACTCAGCTTCTTGTAAGGTATTTAAAAGGGTTCACACGTTGAATTAAAATTCCAATTTGAATCCTAAAATTTTATAAGGATAATAGTTAAGTACTCGACTGACTGGATCATTCAAAGAAAAACATGTGTCTATATATATTCTATATTCATGTTTGGAATTGGATCCTCTCCTGAGCACAAGCTCAGGAGTTTCCTGACCAGTGCACGTGGATCCAACGGCTACAAATAAGAGGTCCCATTAAAAATTATAATAATTGTGATCATTGGATCAAAATCTAACAGCCCACGTGCGCTGGTCAGTAGGAGCTTGTACTCATGAGAAGATCCAATTCCCTCATGTTTTGCTTTTAACTCATAACCTGTCATCCTTCTTCTCTTACACTTTCATGCCAAATTATAGAAACTTCCCCAACCACTATTCTCTTCCCACATGATGTTAAGTGTTTTGATTTATCTTTGAATTTTCTACTTGCAATTTGAGAGATAGTTTCCTAAAAATGAAAATTTAAGATCCAAATGGTTGAAACCCATTGTGTAATTGTTGGTTCTAGATTGATCTGGTTGATTAGGAAGAGATCGATCTGATTTAAGGTTTGAGGGATGGATGAGCAGTGATTATTAGTTTGGGAGTAAGGGATGATGGATGACATTTGGCTATGGCCTACTCTGGTACATGGAACGAATAAGGGTGGTATGGGCGACGGGCTAGTGGTAGAGGCAGTGTTCTAAAATCACCTAGGCGGTCGCCTAGGTGCTAGTTGATGACGTACCGTTCTGATTAGGTGCCAATCGGTGGACAAAAATGGGGAGGGGTTAGGCGCCTACTGTTACACCCCACCCCCGATTTAAAAATAGTTTTGGGTTTTTATTAAAAAAATTATTTTTGGGTCTTAATGTGTGTGCCCGTGTAATACCCCGTATTAAAAAAAAGGTTATATATATATATGGGAGTATGTTGGGTAATTATTTTTATGTTATGATTTTATTTGACTTATTTTTATGCAAGAACCTATTCTTGGTATGTAAAATAGTTTCAATGTAAAATCCTTTTTTCCTACAAATTATTTCAAAACCTAGCTAGCAGTATTTCATCTTCATATGTAATTAGAGATATTTTAGTTTGAATTGGAGAAGGGGATTATGATGAGTTTGGCTAGATTTTTCTCACAAAGGCTAAGTGGCGTTTTGGCAACCATTAGAGAATAAAGGGGAGGGGTTAGTCACTACTCTAAATAGGTTGAGATGGAGAGTTTGTAGCATTAGGAGTTAATGATTTGGTGATTACTCACCACTCTAAATGTGAAGGTGGAAGTCTACTTAAGGGTGAGTTGGCAAGTTTGTATTCATTAAGAATCTAAGAGCTAAATGTTTGGTGATGATTCATCCCTCCGAAGTTTGAAGAGGTGGGATTCATATTCCTTAGAGTGAACGTGGCCTTGGATGCTTGTATCCACCTTGCATAATATTGATTAACTTCACACATGTCTCTTTCCCATTTGAACACATATTAGAGCTAAGGTTTTGCTTAACATTTGTTGTTTGTCTATTGGACCACATTTCATTGTTAATGATGAGAATAACATTTGTTGCCTTGTGATTGGAACACAATTCATGGTGATGATTAGGTTAACATTTGGTGTGTTTCTATTGGAACACATTTCATGTTTAATGATTAGCACAACACTTGCTTTCTTTCCATTGGCACACTTGTGGAGATTCTTTGGAGAAGAAGATGTCATGCAATCTACATAAAGGAAGGAGAAAAGAAACAACGGAAGGACATAGAGGAAAGAGGAAGAAGAAAAGAGAGAGGAAGAAGAAGAAGAAAAAAAAAAAAAAACAACTCCAATAAAAA